CTATTCACTGACTTTATGAGTTTGACCTTGGATGGTGTCGCCAAGACGAGATTGCCTTAGATAAGATCGGTGACTGATCCAATTATTAATCGATCTTACCTTCACTAGCTGGAACAGCCACCGATCTTGCCTAAGGTAATTTTGACTTGACCTTGGTGATACCACCCAAGGTCAAACTCATAAGATCAGTGAATAGATCCTTTTACATTCTACAACTTTTGTTTAAACCAATTTTTTTAAAAACATTTTTTTAGATATTTTGAAGTTCGACTTTTTTCGAATACTCTATCTGCCATAGTGATGTAACGATACGCTTCCGATCTTAGATCCATTTGCAAAAAATGATCCTTTTGGTGCTCTTCGGCAATCTCTGAAAGTTAGTCGATTAAATTTCCGAACACCCTGTATAGTCGCGTGCTTTCAAACCGGAAGAGATATCCCATGAGTTAATTTATCGGTTACGGAGAATCGGCCGTCGGCGACGTCGCTCGATGGGCCCCAGAGGAACGGTACCGGACGGTCGAGGGAAGGCCCTCTCTCTTTCTGAGCGCGCGACACTCCCCTCTCGCACTCTCTTTTCTCCAATTTAAATAGATTGTGCAACTGTCCCTGTTGTTGGTCCATTCTACTGGTTCCTCGAAAAACTGTCATACTTTTGTATACTGCCGCGGAAAGGAGAAACAAACTGATCTCTTCACGCAGATAGAACAGTTTTACTGAAGTATTTAAAAATGTAGCTAATGTATGAAATATTTAGTATTTTTTCAGTGTAAAATATCTCTAAAAATTCAATTAGATACAGATCTGAAAATAATTTTGTTAGACCATTAAAATAATTATGAAGAACCGTTGATAACAATGTTACCAAGTTTTTAGCAAGCAGTTTAAATTCTTTATAATTATTTTAATGGTCCAAATAAAATTATTTTCAGATCTGTATATTTAGTTAAATTTTTAGAAATATTTTGCACTCTGAACAAAATACTAAATTTTAATAAATATTTATTTGAATAGGTTTTAAGTAAATATTTATTAAATATAAATATTTATTTATTTGAATACAAAAATTATTAATTTGATTTAACTATCACCTTTTTTTTATTGAGTAAATATTTATTTACTAGTGTAAGTAAATTTACTTAGCAGTACCATTCAAAGAAATGTATATTAAGATTTAGTGAATATTTTTCAGTGTAGTAAAACTGTTCTTTCCGTGTTTCCGCACGTGTAATTTATGCGCGTGCGTTCGCTCTAATTCGCGGTGAGTTTCGCGAAGAGATAGTACGCGAAACGTTAATTTCGCAGTTAATTTCACCAGTTGCATTCAACGATCGACCGAGGCTCGTAGAATTCGTTCGCGATATTGTGGTAATAATGCTTGATAAAGGAAGAGGAAGATTATCTCCAGATGATAATCGTAACAATCGGGCTGCAGACGCGTGTTGAATAAATTCGCAATAAATTCAGAGTGACTGACAGATGGTGAAGGACGCGACCGCATCTTCGCCGTGTCGCGCTTACTGCGGTGTAGCACTGAAATTGCTGACTGACGTTTTGATCGATTGCGACAACATTTCATGTATAACTAATATTTTTTTAATAAAACATTGTATTTGGTGTACAAATGTCTGTATTTCCTAATAACTCTCGTGCTATTTTATTTATTGGCTTTGGTTTTATATATTTATTTTGATCAAAATCGCCTGACAGGAGTGTTCATTCAAGTTCCTTTTCGCGCATTTTTTGATTTTAATCGATCATTTTACATCATCTTTCGCAAACATTAGAAATCAATTTTATCTGAATTCAACAGTCCGGTGTTCAAAAAATTCTTATATAGTCAATTCATGTACAGTCAATATTTTTTTAAAATAAAATATCGCGGTGTACAAATATCTGTATTTCTTAAAAACTCGTGCTATTTTACTGGCTTTGGTTTTATATATTTACTTTGGTCAAAACCGTCTGACAGCGCCAGGCGTGTTTATCCAGGTTCCGCGCAAAATTTAATTTGTCTATAATCTTATATCACATTTCACAAATGTTAAAAATTAATTTTATCTTAATTCAATAATTTGGTGTTCAGAAAAATCTTGTTTTTGACACGCTCTTCGAGCTTTATAATAATTTGAAAATAATTTTAATAAGCGAATTAGAAATTCAAAAAATATAACGAATGTCCAGCAACAACATTTTACAAGGCTTTCTTTTCAAAATGATTTTCTCGGTGCGACGAAAATGATCGATAGAGAAGGCCTTTGCGAATATCAACAGCGTCCCCTCGCTACGGATTTGTCGATCAGTAATATGCAATTCCCCACCGACCCTCCGAGGTCAACAATTTGTTACGGGGACGGGGATGTTCAAGGAATATATCAACAGCGCGGTTGATTGACCGGCTGTTGGAGAGGCGATACTTTTTACAACCGACTGAAATCTTTGCTGTGCCACGTGAAATTGCGTGGATTGTGATCAGAATAAAACGCAAATATTATTGGCAGATTACACATTTAAGTAAGAAAGAAAAAAAAAAACAAAAAATAACATTTCTTTATCGACATTTGGATATCACGTTCAAAATTAACATGCTTACTGCTGCAGCTGATAAGTAATTGATGGCGCAGTTACACGAAAAGAACGATTTTGCTTTAACGTGATGAAAATACTGTAAATTATTGACATTGTAGCAATTAGTGAGCATCTTACATAAGTAATTTGATAAAATCCAAAATAAAATTATTTTTAATTTTATATCTAACGCTAAATTTATAGATACTTTATCGTTTTTTATATTACATCTAATTGATGTTACTAATTATTACAAAGTTATTATATATGATGCAATATAGTTTTTTCAGATAAGCTATTTTCTGAAATTTCACAAATATTCCGAGATTTAAAATATAATATTATTATGATAAAATAAAAGGGAACATGTCAAAGTACACAGATTCAATCTATTTTATTTTAACTTGATATTGCGATTTATTTTGATAAATCCGTTAAGTGTAAAAATTCTTTTATTTCATAAAAATTTCCTTGCAAATTCTTGACATATTTTAAATTTTGCGCATTTTATGCGATATGTATTATTACTGCCAAAAAATTTCGTAGCTTCACGAAACGACCGATTTCCATTATGGCCGCCGTCATTTTATTATTTAGAGACAGTACAATGGCCTCTAATAAGATAATAAGTTCTGAGACAATGAGTTAACACGAATGAGTCGACGGCAGGGCTTATAACGCCGTAAACGATGACTAAGACCTGCACTAAACTAAACTAGCATAACATAATCGTAATAACAAAAGCACTTCCTGTTTACAAGCAGCACTCTTCCGCGAGATATTTTATTATAATAAGGAAACACAATGCGGATTAGCTCATTAATTAATTTCCCCAAATGTGAAAATATATTCCATAAGACGGCTTTATTCGTCGCTATCCCTTTTTGTTGAAACCTTAATCTTGCAGTCGCAATGGAGAAAACGACTTTGCTGAAGTATTTAAAAATGTAGCAAGATATATGGATTTGAAAATAATTTCGTTAAACTATCAAAATAATTATGAAATATTCTAAAACTGATTGCTATACACTGAAAAAAAGTCTAGTAATAGTGACTAAAGATTGACTAAAATACTTTCAATATAATGTTTGGTTAATATAATAAAAAATAATTTTACTTTTCTAAATATTCAGTAATTATTACCAAATGGTTGCTTATATTATTATCATTGTATTTGATAATACTGACTAAATATTTAAAAAAATAAATTATTTTTGGTTATAATATCCAAATATTTTAATTATTTCACTCAACATTTGGTAACTATACCTATATATTACCAGATTTTTTTCAATATAGAATATATCAAAACTTTTTACAGCTCAACGTTTTATTACTCTCATCATGTTTGAATTCTATACATAATTATGTACAGAATTAAAATAATTATTTTATTAAAATAATTATTTTAATCTGACCACTCACTTAAATTTTTAGATATTTTAACAAAATCGTTCTTTTCATACAGTTTCGTAAACTTTAGAGAGAAAACTCAACTCGACCATAGCCAATTCAATTGTAAAAACTAAGCATCCGTTTTTATTTCTGTCGCACTGTAATCGTATCCGCGTGTTAACTTGTAACGAATGTTACGGACTGCTTGAGAGACGGTTACGACCAGTTTAAGCGTCATTACTTACCAAATTATACGGATTGTGTAATTAATTCAAACTCATTAATTGCCTCGTGGCAAGTCCGTTTTCCTCGTCTTCACTTTCTATAATTATTTCTATTCTGCTTTCTCTCCTCAAAAGCGCGAGCACGTACGTATAAATTCATATCGCTTTTAGATTCCAAAAGGACGTTAAGTTGTAAGGAAGAGTTGCGTCCAAATCGGTATAACGTTCAATTAAAGTATTAATTAACAATCTATATTAATTTTTTTGTTTTTTTACGCGTCTTTCGATTATATCTTATTACCTTATCGTCACGCGCGCTTAGGAATTTAAAATATTGTGTGTATATATACCACGGAAAGAATTTTCTCTTAAAACTTATCTTGAAAATATAGTACAATGATTATACAATATAATATTTTAAAGATTTTTACTATGCACTTCAGTAAAATTAATCAAACTTATTTTATATGTATACATTATATTGTAGTTTTATTAATAAATGAAAGAGATTTACATAAAATTCTTCGAAATACAATGTTATCCCACGATCATATTTTCAGAGTAAATTTCAAGAAAAAATTTTTTCTGCGTGATATAAATTTGTAAAAATACAAAGTTATTGGTGTAAAAATTGTTTACCATATTTCACCAAAATTTAGGCAAAAAATGTTAATAAAAATGATTCTGACGGAAAGCGCCGAGAAAGCAGACGAGCGCTACGGGCAAACTCGCGTCTTCAGTTGCGAGTGCGCAAAAATCTGGATCAATTCCCGCTCGAAATCACCGGAATCGATCGACGATGATGACAATTACCTTGCTCCTCAGCCGGATGCGTGTTAAACCCTCCACAAACTCTCCACAATAAATTTTGTCACCACCAACTAGATCTTCCGGCAATATCCGGCCCGATATCGATCTCTCTCCTCTTTCTTCTTCTCTTCGTCTTCTCCTCTTTCTTCTTCTCTTCCTTGCGGTGGCACTGCGCCGCGTGTTCCTCTTCGGTCAGATAGACGGATAGGGATCGCGGGAAACGTCTTTCACCTGCACGTCCTCGTCCGCCCGCGTGTCATGATCGATGATCGAGAATTCGTTTGCCGAGGCGAGCGTGAAAGCAAGCGCGCGGGCCGAACGTCGTCGCCGGAAAGCGAGATACAGACTGACTGCTCGGCAGAGTTGCCTCGCTCGAGATTCCGCTCGTACCTGCCGCGCGCGTCCGCTCCGTTCCTCCGCTCGAAGCGTATGCTCGCGCGAGAGCGATCTACGGGATCTACGCGAGGGAGAAGCATCACGAATTAGAGGAAGCTCGTCCGCGTGAATTTCGAGAAGCTACCTCATTTGAATTTCGAGGAAATTTCTTCATTCATCACAGGAAGTCCCGGCGAGATTTGAAGGCTCTTGTAAGTCGTTCAAAAATCCCTCCCTTTTTTTATTTGAAAAAAAATCTTAGTCTACATATTTCTTTGAACAGTACTAAACAAACGTTTATTTACAGTAAATAAATATTTACTCAATAAAAAAAATGATAGTTAAATCAAATAAATAATTTTTGTAACGAATCAATGTGTATATTTAATCTAGTACATATTTATTTAGATCTGAAAATAATTTTGTTTGACTATATCAAAATGCTTGCGTAATCACAAGATGAGTAATACAGGAAGTTTCGGCATTCTAGTAAATTTGTGAGAGTCTTATGTAATTATTTTCAAATCTGTATTTAGATAAATTTTTAGACTTCAGCAAAACCAGTCTTTCCTTGAATGTTTTATCATTTTGATAAAACGATATGTGGACAATCAATAATAATAAATTTGCAAAAGCTCCGTCACGCATTTGGGAATGACGGTTTTATTTAGATTAAGAATAATTTTACGAAATGTTTAAAACATTGAAGAAACAATGCAAATTACATTGAGACATTTAAAAATAGCTTGAAAAAAAGTGAGAATAATAAAATACTAAAATAATTTGATTTATTTAAGCTTAATGTCGAAATCAGTTGATACATAATCAAAGTGTTATCGCAAGCAGAACGTTCAATTAATAATCCTTTCTCTTAACTATTTTTATATTTAATCTCCAAACGTTACACAATATATTAATTATCTAACGGTTCCGGTCTATTAACCAGTGCCGTTAGAAGATAGAGACACATGAGGAAGGTATGCGAGAGGCGGACGGCGACCTGTACAATCTCAGAGATAAACTGATCTTCTCTCGGCGATGCGACTCAAATGCACGGAGCGTGGCACATCCGTGGTAAACGGAAGTAATGAATGCGGCCGCGCGCTTATCTAGTTTGACACTTCCTTGCCGGAGGTCGCGTCCATATAAACGGCCGTCGTTTTCGCGAAACGTCAGCGGAGGCGGCGCATCAAACGAAATCTCGCTTTCATTGATTTATGTAATAGTTTGTAACCGATTCCGTTCTTTGTTCGCGTTGTGCGGAACGGTCAACTGACCGCGCGGTGTTCCCGTATATCGCCCGATATCTTCGGGGGAAACGGCATTCCGGCTGCGAATTATATACGACGTTCGTACGACTTCTCTCTGCATTTTAGCCGAGATAACAGAAATCTAATGTTGGCCAATTTATTACTAAAAGGCAGTAATTAATTGCTCATTTGGAGTACTAAGGTATTGAAAACAGTACTTTTAATACTTAAAATAAGTAATTAATTACTATCTTTCAGTATTAGCCAGTAGTAGATTTGTCTGTAAGGAAAAGAAAATTGAGGAAACAATCTCGCGCGAAATAAATTTGATGAGAACGAAAAAATCATGCTTAAAAAAATTAATGAAATTTTTTGAAAGAAAGAGGTAAAGATGAAAGAGAAGTTTATTATAAAAAGTCCACTTTCTTACCACTAAATGTGATTAATATTTCATAGCATTCTAGCTTATAAAAATATTATAACGCGTAATAAATATTCATATTCCTTTCTCCTTCCTAAAAAATAGATTGCCTTGATATACACTTTCCGACAACCAAGACACACCTATAATACACACACATTCATAAGTTTATATTTTTAATATATAATTTTTTGATAAATCTTGAAAGCGGTTTACTAGAAATTTCAACTCTCTCTCTCTCTCTCTCTCTCTCTCTCTCTCTCTCTCTCTCTCTCTCACTGCTATCGCAAGTAGTAACGTCTTGACGTTTAATTAATTTTAACAACGTTAAATTTTTTGACATTCAGCCGTGAATAAATCACAGTTAAACTTCTTTTAGATTTTTCCCTCTCTCTTTTCCGCCATTATCAAACATATATTTTTATGAGTACACTGTCTGACACGCTGTGGTCAAACATTTCGTAGTATTGAGTAACTCAATCCGTATAGTTGTCTCGATTTGCTTATCGGTACACTCTTTATCACGAGTTCTCTTTTTCTTTTTAGCATCGTACCGTTAGCTGAACGTCCTGAACATCCGTGATACCTCCTCTGATGCGCAGTTTTATTTCAGTGTGGCGTGAAAGCGAGCGAACTGGTCCATACCGTGCGCGTGTTAACGATAACAAACTATACTGGGCATCCATTAAGAGGGACAAAGGAAAATTGATAAGCCGTAAATACATGCATTATCACCCCAAGAACGTTAAGACACTCGGGCTGACCTTCCACCCGGGAGTGATAAAAGTCTCCGTCCACCGCAACGCATTTACTGCACTCCACGACCTAGCGTTTCCTTTTACGTCACGTTTTCGCGCTTGATCGACTAGATCGTTTCGCGATAACGAATATATTTGCGGACGTATCTCACGATACTCTGGGGAAATTCTTCGAAAACTTATTCAACGTTACGAACTAACGTGATTTTCATTCGGCAAGTCCTGTATCTTTTTCATCAGCTCTGCGCGATCGATTTCATTTCTGTCACGGAATCTATTAAATTATCTAAAACGGAAATTTTAATTTTAATTTCAAATGGTATATAAAAGCGCTAGTTTTAGAAACCAGTTTATATATTTGTGCTACAGGAGAACTGCGCGACTAGTGTAGATTAATTTTTTAAATGTGCTGTTAAATTCAGGATGTCGAATTCAATTTGAGTTATTTTTAACCATTTCTTTAGGTCACTTCTACTCAATTATGTCGTCAATTTAATTAAAAACGACGAAAGATCATCAATAAAAACTAAAAAACATGTATTAAATTTGATTCAAGTTTTAGCTCATTATTTATACATCCGTTATCAACGCTGTTTATTTTTCTAAAAAATAATCACTTGAAAACTAATCACAAATACGGCTTAATTTACATCTTGACATATAAAAGTTAAAAATAACAAAATATTATTTAATTCAAGGAATTTCTTATCATTGAGTTATGTTATCATTGAGTGTTCGTTTGATATTTAATAATTGTGTGATGATGAATATTAAAAGAAAAGAATACTAAACAAACTACTATCTTTATTTATTTACATGACTCTTTGATACGTTTTTTTCTTTGTAAAAATAAAATACTACGATGTGACGAAAATATTTATACTTGTTTTCTATATTCAAAACAACGTCGATTGCTTAAAATTCAACTAATTTTAGTATACTTTCTTTTTAATGCGCATTGAAACGTAATATTTCACAAAACTTACTATAAATACGAATAAACATTTACTAGTAACATTATTCAGTGTCAACCGCTCCATATCCCAAAAAGAGATAAATTATTTGCTAACCCAATATATCTGCAACTATTAATTACATAATTATATTATACATACATACGAAACTATTTAAAAATGGAGTAATAATAAAAACTAGTATAATTTACTGAGGACAAGTTATTTATTACAGATAGACTGAATGAAATAATTGTAAATGACATATCCGAAAAAATGGACTAATAGTGGAATGCTGACACTTTCACGGTTACACCCTTGAGAGATGTAATTTTGCGTTTTGCTCGATCTAATCTAGTTTCTCCAGACGCATTTGCTTTCGTCATTCGTCCGCTTGAATTTCACTAAGAACATATGTACGTCAATTACGACCAAGATTGTGGGTTTAAGATCATGTTTCACATAGAATTTTTAAGCTGGTAGTTTTGCAACAATTCGCCTTAAAATAAAAATACCGATTTAATCAGGTCCAGGTTTTTTCTACAAAAAAATTACCTGAATTTATTATTCACATGTTCCTTTTCTTGCCAAAAGAAGAGGAAAATAATTTCAGTTTTTAATCAGAGAATACATTGGAGAATATATTATCACATAAATATTAAGTCCAAAAAAAAAAGTAAATTTATATATAGATAAAAACGAATTTTATTATGTTATTTTGGATTTCAGAATGTTCTTTTATTATTTCTTTTCTAGAAATTATTAAAATTTGAAAAATAATGAATCAATTTTTTAACAATTGCATGCATAAAAATTATTGAAACTAAATTATCTATTGTATTACAAAAAGAAATGGCAAATAATCTGTCGAGTAAAAATAAATTTTTGATCGAGTTTTTCTTCAATTCTTTGTCCAACTTAAAGTCAATTTTCCTTATTTTACATTGATGAAAACTTTCGTTCACTCTACATCAGAGAGCAAATAACAGTTCCTATTATATTCAACGCAGCATTAGTTATTCAATATTCGAATACATTCTCATATTACAATTTAGCATATAATGTTATAATTCAATGTACAATGATAACCTTTATTGTTCTCTCGATAATTACTGTGAAACGGTTTGCTTAATTTTCTACAACTAGATGTAATTTGCGAAATTCGATAATTGCATTGTTGAAAAAATGCGTGAAGAAAATAAAACATTTGTGGAAAAAGTAGAATCTGTCGCAAGCAGATACATCACGAATTCTTGTCTGCCGCGCATCTCGTTATCATTATCGCAATGACATTCCATGACGATGGTAATGATCTTGCCGAGGCTGCGAGATCGGGCACGCGAGCAGGCGACGATGATAACAATGACGAGACGGAGTGGGATCGCCAATCAAACGTGCTCAATCGGCGATCCTTGAGGATGCATTCTAGGCTACAGGCCCGCTAAAAGACTTTGCCCCCGCGGCCGTCGATGCGGAACATTTGCGCAACGAGATCGCGGAGGAATTCTGAAGTCTACTCACGAATTTCGAAGCGAATTGCGAAGCGATCGACGCGACACGACGCCACACCATGA